TTTACCAAACTCCTCAACCAAGCCCTTCCTGGCTTGAGTTGAATGGCTAGCCATTGGGTTTTGGACATCCCCACAAGCATGAGTGGTCGATGAGACAACTTCCAAGCTACTTAAAATCGGTCATAGTACTGAGTCGAATAAGAGGCACCTCCCACCCGAATAGGGTGTGGTACATGTTGCCGCTCAGTACTCACGAGTTACAAGCATGTTCGAGTACAAGTGCAAGTAATGAGTATTCAAGAAGGAGAGGACAATGGCGATAAAGTACACCCTCGCTTCGGTAAGTTCACAAATCATAACAATTTCACATAGCACTTGAACAAATATCATTTCAATCATAGCACATGAAACATGCATGCACTTGACACTCACCAAAAGTCAAAGGAAAAGCAAGAGCAAGAACAAAATCAAGAGGTCAGACAAGCTCCTCGGTGTCCACGTGATCACCTGAGACATGTACAATCACGATTACCTAGGTATTCGATCAAGGCTAATAAGAAAGTATCTTCTTGCTACCCACACTCAAAGCCACAAGTTCAAGTCGAATAAAAAGTGACTTTCTTGATTAATCACTAAAATAATATTCAAGGAAGACTTAAAAGTCATTTTCGAGTCAAGTCATGGCAAGAGATCTTGATTTCAAAAGAGGAGTTCCATACTTAATATTGGCACAAAAATCGAGGAAAGGAAAATGGTTTTCATATCTTAAAAAGTCTAATCCTATGCCCAAGTTTTAGAATATAAAGGAACGTTCATGTTTTGGAATTTTATGGAGTCAAAATCCATCAAAATGCTACTCATTTTCATAGTAAATGTTAAAGTTAAAAGTTTCAAGTTTCGAATATAAAACTAGTGAAATTCCTCAAGAGTTACTCTAGCTAAAATGCTCCATTTTATGGTTCAGTTTCATGGAAACCAAGGGCATAAGACTAGGGTGCGAAATTCATTTCCCAAGTATGAAATGAGGTGTAAATAATCAAAAAGGTTAGGTTTGAAACCCAGAAAATGTTTCCAAGTGTCTTTGGAGTTTTGTCACTTTACAAGGAAAAATTCAGTTTAGGCAACCTTCTTTGAAAAAACATAACCTAAGTTCCATAAGTCTAAAGTTTACAAGTCTTATACCATTGGAAAACAGACTCAATGAACTAAAACTATCTAGAAGACACTTTTTCCATATTCAAATCCGAAATCAGTTAAATCTTAGCTCCAAATCACTACTTTAGCAAGAACAGAGCAAAGTAGTCTTGAATTTTAGTAAAATTTGAAATTTTGGCAAAATTCATAGGAATCGAACCAACCCTTGAAATTTATACCACGGAAAGAAATCCAAGTCTAGTTTCAAATGCAACAAAGTTTGGATCTTTCTACACCAAAATACAATAGTTTTATGAAAACTGGTTTTTGAAACCTGGTTCATGAAATTCCAGTTTGGAGCACTCGACACAGTTTGTAAATCAGGTCATAAATATGGCTACACAAGTCCAAAATTAGCATGGTTTATGGTTTGAAAACTAGATTCAAAATTCTAAGAGTCACCAGAAGAAACTGTCTTCAAATTTGTGAGACCCCGAAATTTTACTTTTCTTTATAACCCTTATGTGAACTCACTTACCTTTGATTCTTGGTTGTTTTAATGGTTGAATTTGAGTCAAGGGAGTTAATTTTGTTAAGAAAAGTTTCATAATCTCAAGTTGTTAGAAAATCTAGAAATTTTCGCAGGAGACTCTGCGCAGCTTTGGGAAATTGGCTATAACTTTGTATAAGAAAGTCAGAATTGAGTTCCGTTTGTTGCGTTTGAAACTAGACTCAGAGGGCTTCCTATGGTGTAAAAGTCAGAGTTTTATTCAATGTCTATAAATTCTAGGAAATTGGCAAAGTTGATTGAAAATTCTGCCCTACACAAGTAAACATATGAATGTTGTAGTAGCTTATGGCTCAATTTGGACCAACTTATGAACTAAATCTCTTTGAGATGTCTTCTAAAGATTCTTAGTATTTGAATTCTAGTTTTTAACAAGCCAAGTTTATAAATTTTTTATATTTATAACTCAAGTTATGATTTTTCTAAAGGAAGGGCATAAGTTAGGATTTTTGTGCATACTAGGGTTTTGGTGTGTGTTTTTGTGTGCATTTTGGTAGCGTGATTGTGAGGACTTGTAAAATCCCTCATATTTTCTTAAAAATTTCCTTTTATTTGGAATCCATTATTTTACAATAACTTTACTACTCATTCACTTCCTCAATAGTTACAATTAATCATAGAACCAAGGGTTTTTCCTTTTCTTTCATCGTTAAGGTAAACTAGGGTTTTTTTTACATCTTTTGGTAGTGTGATTACTCGGTACGGAGTGCGTACTAAAGTTGGCAGTTAAGAGTGAGTTTTAGATAAGAGAAAGTGTGTGATTAGAAGTGAGAATAATAAGTTAGGGAATCATATGATAAAACCCTAGTACATGTGATTTAAGGAAAATCGGTTTGAACCAACGAGTACTGTTCGCTACTGATGGAATACACCACTTGACCATCACTTTATTACCTTAATCACCTTGTTTAGTTGAGCTAATTAGCTCTTAATTAACCCTTAAGTCAGCCACCATTATTGACTAAGGAAAAGAGAGATATTTTGGTGGAAATATTTGTGATTAAGCCATTTGTCAAGAATCCAACCAAGGTCTTGACCAAGACATTTTCCTTTCTGTAGACACCAAATTTTTAGTGTAATTTCTTTTACTTTTTAGTTTTTTTTAGTTTCTAGTTTTTATTTTTATTTTTAAGTTTTAGAGTAGAAAAATCATGGAAAAGAGAAAAAAAGGAAAATTGTTCACAAAAATACGTTCAAATTCAATCTTTTGGCATTTTGGTTTATTTTCGTTAATTTATTTTGGAAAAAAGAAAAAAAAAAGAAAAATGATGGAAAATGATGAAAAATGAAAGAAAAGATCGAAAATGGTAATTTTGTTATTTTTAGTTTGTTTATTTTGATTAAAATTGTTGTTTTATTATTATTTAGTTTTATTATTATTTTTGTTAAATTATTAAGTTTAAAATAAAAAAAACAAAAAAAAAAAAAAGATCCTGTGGCATGCAAGCTGCGTTTTACCGCAGCTTGCAAAAGGAGCATTGGGGCAGCCCTTATCTGCAAAAAAAAAAAATATATATATATATAGAAGAGTGCTAAGGGTTTAAGAGGGGGGTTCCTGGTATAAATAGAAAAGAGGGAGAGAGCCGCAAGGGAGTTTTTTGGGACAGCCGTAACTTTGGCAAAAAACAAAAGAGCGGAAAAGAGAGGAGAGAAGGGGAGAGGGCGGCGGATAGAAATAACAGAGAGGGTTTGAGAGAGAAAAAACTAGGGAGGCTGGGAGAGAGAGATTTTTAGGACGGCTGGGGTTGAAAAAGAAAAAAGAAGGAGCGAACCGAGGAAAACAAAAAGAAAAATCTGAGAGAAATCAAAGCAAGGGAGAAGGTAACAGCAAAGGTTTTGAAAAGGAGCAAGCCAGAGAGATTGAGAGTTTGGGAGAAAGGGCGAGAGAGATAGAAGGGGCTGAAGTCAGAGAGAGAGGAGATCGCGGCTAAGAAGGAGAAAGTTCGACGGCTAAGGCTGGAAAGGCTGAGGGTTTGTCGGCTGAGGGTTTTAGAAAAGAACGCAGTTTTGGAGACAAAAGGAGGAGGAGAGGATGACAGCTAGGGCTTGAAGGAGGAGAAGTAGTCGGGGGAAAACGGAGAGGGAAAGAACCAGAAGAAGGAAAAGGATAGGTCTTCGGCTAGCATCCCCTACATCAGCGTTGGAATCTTCCCGGTTCGTGGGCTTTAGTTCGCCATAATCATCTGATTTTCAGGAGCCTCTCCTGTGTCGTGTAACAGCCTAAGTGCTCTCAGGTAATCATGGATCTTTCTCAACCTTGTTTTGACACAGTTTTTAGAAGAAATCTGAACCCTTTTATGCATTTTTCCCCCCCTTTTCTAAGTTTGGTCGATACTTGAAGACGATGATTGCAAAGCATCCCTTGTTTTCTTTATTTGCCGAAGTAGTAACCTGTTGGTCGTTCTTGTTTTGTTTGTCGCCTGGTTGAGGATGCCATGAATTTGTTTGATGCCAAAGCTGTGATTAGAATCTTTTTATTGTAAACTTAGGAACCAAAAAGCTGTTAGCTTTTATGTGTTTCTTTCCCTTGTTGAACTGAATGAGTGCAGTCCGTGAGTGGCAAGTGTCTTTCTTCGTCTCTTGTTTGTTCATATGACTTGGGTCTTAGGCTGTCTTCCTAAAGTTGGGTTTCCTCACTTTGTTTGCATGATCACCTTGGATTTTGTACAACCTTGGCCATTTTTCTGAGTTGCTAATGAGCTGCGAATTTGCAGCAGGAAATTGCAGCAAGGACGGGCTGGTTTACTTTGTTATTGTAGAAATGTTTTTCCATTCCCTGATCTTTGTTGTCGTATGTCTTGCTGGTTTCTCTTTGTTGAATCTTTAGCAGACGTTGCATTAGAGTTCGACATGTTAATAATTTGAGTTTTGTGGTTTAGGTAGACAAGCTTACATGTTTCTCTTGGGTCCATGTTTATGGTAGTCTTCCTGCGCATATATAAGCTGAGACTTTGCAGAAATGAACCTATGAATGAGTTCAAACTTGTTAGTTGTCATAACTTTTCTTGGCTTGCATGTTACTGTCACGTGAGACTGCTAAATGGTAAAGCTTCAGAATTTTTTTTTGATAGGGCCGCATGGTCTTCCTTCTAACATGTACGTCAACATCTGAATTTTTATGGGGAAAAGTAGAAAAATTGATTGCCTTTTTCTGGTGCATTATAAAACTACTGGTGTTTATAGTCCCTTTTTCTGATGCATGCAGTTTTGAACAATTCCTCTCTGGTTTGTGCTTTGGATCATTTTCATTGCTTCAATCTAGCCCATGAAGTTGGATTTCCTCACCTTGTTTGTGTGCTCACCATGGATTTTGTTTATAAATTTTGGCCTTTTTTCTGGGTTGCTATAAGCTACGAAAATGACAGCAGGAAATAGCAAGAGTTTGCAGAAATTCTGTTCTACGTATGCATGCATGAAATAATTTTCTAAAATTGCACTTTGGCTCCCAAGTCTCCCCTTGTTGCACTATGGCCCAAGAAATTGAAAAGATTAATCAATTTGGTCCTTCAAATTTTCTTTAATGTTCAAATTGGAATTCCATTTGATGAGTATGGACTTGTTTGATTATTTGAAGAACTTAATGATTAAATTTTATAGCCACTAGTGGTTCCTTAAGTTTTGTTTTTGAAGAATTTGTGTTGTTTGATTTACTATTAAATTGGTGCATTAATCCTCTGTTTAATGGTTTTAGCCCAAATTAGAACCTTTTCCATTTACTAGCTTCACAAGCGGGGGAAGGTATAACTTTCTTTTATCCTTTTTACCTCTCTCCTACGTGCTCCTACGTGTTACGTGAATATGCATGTCTACTTTGCTTTCTTAATTCCTTGCATTTATTTCATTTACTTTTACTTTTATTTAAGTTATTCATTATGGGGTATGTGTACACCTCTTGGCTTGTAATAGATAGGGCTTGGTGAGCAATTTGGTCCATTTTCCCCTTCCCCTTTGTTTAGTTAGCAAATGTAAATAGGTTCATTAGTTTAGATGTTTGCCTTTGTTGCTATGTGTTTATTGCTTTATTAGGTTCTTGCCTCTAGTCGAGCATGCTAAGTGTTATGTGCTACGTGTTTATAAGTGATTCGCATGTCTACTCGCTTTTTATAGTGTGGATGAATGGAATGGATGAATGTACGTCACCACACTAGTCCAACGCTAGTTGTGGCTTCTTTTATCGTTTCCACTAGTCCAACGCTGGTCGGAATTCATAGGAGGGGGCTAGTCCAATGCTAGACCCAATAGGTTTTTTTTTCCTTTTTCATTAAGTGCATGATCACCACATATCACGCATTTTTCCTTAGTTTATCATTTGGTATGTTCCTCAAACCCCTTCCCCTTCACTTTAGGACTTGCATCTCATGCTAGTTAGGGTTCATTTGCGTGAAAAACCCCTCTTGATAAGGGAAACGAGCGAGTGTGGCTACTCGATAGCCTTAGCACGCTAGTTTTATCTTCTAATCCGAGGGAAAATCAAAGTCGAAA